CTCGTCGGAGGCGTCCCAGATATGGCTGCTGGCGGAAGAGCTGAGGCCAGCCGACATCATCTCCAGCTGAGGCAGCCGGTAGAAGGGCCGACGAGGATAGAAGGTGGATGACAAATCGTGCATAAATCAGATCTTGGTGTGGGCCGATTTTTTAGAATTAGACAAATTAGAAAAGTTTATTTGCACTTTTTAAAACTTATTATTATTACATTTTGATCCTTCTGGGTTAATTTGTAATTTATTTAACCGTTTGATTAACTACAATATGACCTTTGAGTTTTAATAATATATAATTATGCACATTTAGTTTATTTATTGTGTATATTTAGATAATATACAATCACGTACATAGTGTCAAGAGTAGTTTATTTTATTTTTTTATTTTTTTTTTCAAAATCATGAATCGAACATAACAAAACAGGAGCTTATATAATTGATAAGAAGAGAGGCATGATAAGTAATTGCGTCCAATTACTCATCTCAAAGCTTATATTCTTAATTGTTACTCCATCTGTTTTGCATATAACCATTTTGATAGCATTTGCCTAGAAGTTTTCATAGGGAGAAACAAGAGCCAAAGGCAAAAATTGAACAAAGAGAAGCACGAATAAAACAGAGATATGGTACGATTGTTCCTTGCACGCAACTATTCTTCGTCATATAAAATTCGAGCCACCGTGAAAATGCTGCAAGTCTGGGTTCGGCCCTCCACCTGGCCTTGGAGGGTTCCTATGAACAATTTCGACATTTGAATGAATAACATTACATCAAGAAAATCGAAAAGTTCAACATACTTACTAAAGCGTATAACATTGAATGAATAACATTAGATCAAGAAAATCGAAACTTCATGTACTTAATAAAGCAATGAATAACATTACATCAAAGAAAATCGAAAAGTTCAACATACTAAGTGAAAAGTATGTATTAGGGTTTAAACATTGGGCATGTATACTTATGCAACGAAATAATAAAACAAAACTTGTGAAGGAAAGGAAACCAAATAATAAAAGGAAACTATATAACAAACTGGTACGAATTACGTGCTAGGCACTACACGGGTAAGAGATATTCAATATATTTATAAATTCAAAATGCTCATTAAATAATAATTATAAATAAAAATATAAAATCAATATGCAATACAATTTATCTATTTTAATTTATTGAAAATGTTATGTGCTTAAATTGTGCAAAATTACATAAAACATGTCTATTCAAAATTAGTACACAAACTGTAAGGTTGCAATTGTCATTTTAAGATTTTTATTCAGAAATCCGATTTCACTACAATGTAATTCCATAAAAATATTTATTTTCGTAAATTTTTATCATATATTTAAAAATCTATGCGAATAATAAGTATAATTATAAAACTTATATTGCTCCATTAATTAAAATTGATTATTCTTGTATAAACTATCCAAATTAAAAAAATTTAAGTAGTTGAGTGATTTATTAAACTATAATTAATAGACTATTCTATTTATGTCCAAATTAATATTGACCCGTAAGTTATGATAATTATTTATTTGACTTTTAAATTTGGAACTCAAATTTGGACTACACAATAAATTTTCTTATATTTTTTAATTAATATAAACTATAAATATATTTTACAACTTAATAATGTTTTCACGTGTTGTTGATTTTTCATATTTGATATATCAGGATGATCATCTTTTTACGATCCTCGAGTTAATATTAGGTATAAATAAATAAATAATTATGTTGCACTAAATTAAATGAAATTATCTATATATTCTAATTGATAATTATAAAATTAGTATTCATCAGTTAGATAAAATCATCTATTAACCTATTATATCTCTCTTATTCTTATAATCTCTCTTACTATTATTTTATTTTTATAAGAAAAAATGTGAGACAATATTAACTTGACACGTGGCATCATTCTTGTGCATCCACGTGGCCCTCTTTTTCACTGCTTTGCTTTCTCAATTTTCATTTACAAGCTTTAGCAGGGTGAAACGACGCCGTTTAGCGTAACTTCTCTTAATTGTTAACTACTATATTTATACACAACAAGTAACTCTAAAGTCAAAACACGCCACCCTCCTCTCCCTTCTTCCACATCATTCGTACCAAATAAAAACCTAAAATTGGTGGCAACTTTTACCTCTTCCCGCAACCAGATCGTCTCCTCAGCTGCTTCGACGAACTCAGGCGGCCTGAAGTGTTCGTCCACCGACGACGCTATTGGACGAAAGGTAGGTCGCACTCTTTGATTGGTGGTCGGAGGGATAAAAATCTTTGGTTTTGGCGACACGCCGCTTCGGTCAGAAAAAAAA